ATGTGACCCTTGCTTTTTAAATGAAATCGGTAAAATTGCTTCTGGCAACCTCCAGCAGCTCCCCTTGAGCAAAAAACAATGACAGAAACAATGCAGTTGTCAAAAGTACATACTGTATATACTCCTGATCACCTTTTCTTTAGCTAAAGTTATTTTGAACTGTTGGTGGAAGAAATTTCAATGTCTTGGCAATTTTTAAACAATGGATTCCATTTCCATCCTGGGTTATTAGTACTTCTCTTTTTATCTGCAATGAATATCAGAAAGCTCTTCTCAGTTCTTTTCAGTCCTGACGGTAGATGCTCTTAATCCATTTGTCATGCTTTCTGTCTTTACTGTACTTCCCTTACTGGTTCTCAACAAATTCATCACTTGCCACTGGAGTGTCCTACATTTTTGCCATGTTGAGATCAAGTGTTTAGGGGCTATTTACAGGAATTTGGACTTACTGCTAATTCTAGCCAGGGAAGGTGGCTGAGGGGATATAAAGACCTGGGGAACCTTTGTTGCAGTTTCTATTTTCTCAATTATTGGAAAAGAAATGACAATCAAGCTGGATCAATTAAAGTAGAAGTATACACTTGCTGTACATGTTGAGAAGCACTCTGAAACTCTACAATCAGATGACAATCAAAACTAACCCAAATGTCCCAAAGAGTGAGCAAATTTTGGAAGGGAAGGGAAGGGTTGAAGAGCAAGTTGTTATGGTATTAAAACCACATAGTGGAACTTTCCTTCATACATGTGCTTGAAAGAACTGGAATACATGCAAAGAGATTCAAAGTTTTAAAAGGCTTGGTGGAGAATACAGGAAATTATAGGCTAATATCTTAACAGCAATTGATAGAATGTGTTATTAAAGAAAAATAGTCAAAGTCATGAGCAACTCTTGCTGACAAGGGTCCACCATGGCTTTTGCAGGGACAAGATTTGACTTACTATTTTTCTCAATTATTTTGAGAGCATCACCAGAGGCTCCTGTGCAAAGAGCAGTTATGGAAAAAGAAAACAGGTGTTCTCAAGTACTTTAGTAAAGAACAGGTAATAGAGCCTTTATTTGCACAAGATGCTTCACTAAGTTATGGGCAAAGTTAGCTTGTTAGGCAAACCCATAATCCAGTCATGCCATATAGATCTTTGTTTTTCAAAAAGTGCTTAAAAGTAACTGAATCATGAGGGGCACTTTCCCTTGAGGACAAATATCAGGGATGGACTGCGAGTGGAAAAACAGTATAGCATTATGGTCCCAACCTAATTTACTCTGAAAACAACTGATTCATTATCATCTCATGCAATTTTGATCCTAAAATAGCAATTACGCATTCAAGAGTGGAGGGTGTTAAAAGGATAGGGAAAATTCTGCAACATTATGAAAATATTCTGCATATATTCTTTCTAGATACTTGATCATTTTTTCAGCAACCCTGAAAGTAATGTTTGGAGCATTTGTACAGTTTCCCTATATTTTTCTCCCATTATTTGCATTTTCAAAAAGCATGCAATTAAGAAATGTAAGTTGAGAGTTTGTTGTTCTTCTAGAAACTAAACCAATTCAGTTTAGTTTCCTCTGAAGACAGTAATTTTAGAATAGCATCCATTTCTCTCTGCATATTTTGTTTAGTTTTGTTTCCTGTTTTGCCCTCTTTCACAGCAGGAATGGGGACAGTCATATCAGTAGAAAATACAAGGAAAAGGCATTGAATTGATGGATTAAATTTTGACAGCATGCCTGAATATGTTACAGAATTTAGTTTAAAATTGCAAACATACAGAGCTTGGCCTTGAACATTTTGTACTCATCTGTGCTGTAGTTTGCCTTTGCTATCCAGTTGTGTAATTCAGGTAGACAAAATAGCGGTACACTTATGGATACTGCATCTCCTATTTGAGTCCAAAAGCTGTGAAGAACCTCTCTTAGTCAATAATGTTTTTTTGATCAGCGTAAAGCACCTGATGGATAGGGGCTCACCTCACTCCATTACATTTCCTTTATAGACCTAAGAACTGTCATTTAGTTTGAGGCCTGCTTGTTAAATAGCCCCCCTTCCCACTGAAATGAAGTTACAATGGGAAAGAAGCAGAAAGAAACTGATGGATTCATTAGCCATTCCACTGCCAGGTTGGCGTTTGCCCTCCCCTTTTTCACCAACGTGCCCTCATCCTCTTGACCTCTACTCTGTGTTCAAAATATTAAATGATTACAAAAGGAAGGGAACGATTATACTTGGTCTGTAGAGGAGCTTGCACATTACTTGTTGGCTAGCTAGCCCTGACATTAATCACTTAGAGATGCAAAAGAGGCATTTGTTATTTACCATTTGGTGACATAAATATGTAGGAATCTGCCTATGTGAAAGAATGGGAAGCCATGTTCTGAAAAAGGGTGGATCTGGGAGTGAGGTAGGGTTGAGATTTTGAAACTTACCAAAGGGTAGCAAGATGAAATCCAGTTCTTATAAAATAACTGGGTATATGTGTGTATGTGCATCCCCCAGAGCAAATGAAAACCAGTTTCAGAGATGAGGACACTGAACCTTGGTCGTGGTGAGTTCGTCATGCTTCCTATCTACAGTCCCCTTTAAATTCTCTTCACTCTGCTCAAGCATAACTTATATGGAGCAGAGGGAGGGTGCCTTTTCTGTGATGACCAATTGTATCTTATGCATAAAACCTAAAACAATGTATATAACTGAATGGCTTAAATGCTGCTCTGGTAAAATGTATCCTGCATTTTCAGTGTATTTTCAATTCCCCAGTGAAAGCTCATCCCTTGCAGTATCTTATCTAATTTTGGCCTCTTCTGATGCACTAGAGGAAAAGAAAGGGAAAAAAATCTACACTCAGAAAAAAAAAAATTGCCTTAACCTCTATTAAGCATTACATTAATAGACACCATGAAAGTGCCATTCAAAATGCATCCACTTCACTTTAAGAGCTAATCAAGCTACTTGTGAAGCTGGAAAGCTATTCACCAAGTACTCTAAATCTAGATTCCCTTTGCCCTACTGCCACTTTTAACTTACTCTGCGGTTTGCTTCGTATTGAGGACCATGACATATGTCTATCATGAAAAGAATAATTACTGTATGTGCATTTAAACATACTAAACACCATTTATTAGAGAGTAGGCTCCACTAAATTTGGCATGCATTGAGATCTCATGAAGTGGGAGGAGAGCTGCTAAAAATCAAGCTCAGAAGTTCTGTTCTTCAAGCTACTAGTTGTGATTCATGCCTTCTATTACTTTTTTACAATGAGGAATATTTTTCATTTCTTCATTTTTAATGATAATCATTAATTTTGTTCTACAGTTCTTCAGGCATTCTATTTAGTAAAACTGGTGTTTTTTATTTTTTACTATTTATCACATCTGTTCTTTAGTTTACCCCATACTTACATGGAATATTGTTGAGGTTGTTAGTTTAATGATATTATTTGTTTTCCTTAATTTAATTTGGAATTTTGCAAGAATGCCATGATCTAAGCTACAGTCAACACCAGGTCTTGCTTTTGTTGACTGAGTAGAACTCCAACTTTACTTCAAAAATATTTATAATCAATTTGATTTCAGTGCTGTTTGTGTGGCAGTGCCCATGTGTAGACTTGTTTTTTAGGTTGTTGGGAAAAGGTACAGCCATAAACATCAAATTATCCTGGCAGAACCCTGTGTCACCTGCTTCATTTTGTATATCAATCCTTAATTTTCTCATTATTCCAGATGCTATTTTCCTTCCAACTTTAGCATTCCAGTCACTTATGATAAGTATGATGTCTTTTCTGAATATTGTATTGAGATGGTGTTGTCACAGGAGGACTGATTGCAGGTTGGTAAGTTTGGCTAAAGACAATTCGTGCCATTTATGCACCCTTTGCTCCTACCTCCTGCTTCATATGTTCCAAATCCATATGGCATAATTCCACTACAATCATATATACAGTGGTGCTAAAAAGTTTGTGAACCTTTTTGAATTTTCAATATATTTGCATAAATATGACATAAAACATTGTTCTCCACACAAGTCATGAAACTAGACAAAGAGAACCCAAGTAAACAAATGAGTCAAAAATCTTATATTTGTTCATTGATTTATTGGAAAATGATCCAAAGCTACATACTTCACAAACTGTAGACAGGTACCAATGTTCTTTTTGGAGAGTAGTGGTTTTCTCTTTGCAGCCCTGCCATGCATACCATTGTTGTTCAGTGTTCTCCTGATGGTAGTCTCATGAACATTTTTGCCAATGCAAGAGAAGCCTTTAGTTCCTTAAAATTTACCCTGGGCCTCTTTGAGATACCTTGCTCTTAGTGTAATCTTGGTTGGTCAACCACTCCTGGGCAGGGTAACTATGGTGTTGAATTGCCTCTATATACAATCTGCTTGACAGTGGACTGGTGGAGTCCAAACTCTTTGGAAATAGTTTTGTAGCCTTTTCCAGGCTGGTAAGCATCAACAACTGTTTTTTGGAGATCTTCAGAAATCTCCTTTGTTCGAGCCATGACACACTTCCGCCTACCTGTGTTGTAAAGATCAGACTTTGAGAGTGAATACCCAGAATTCTGTTCTTTAAATGAGGCAGGACCTCCCACACTTACACCTGATTATCATCCCATTGATTGAAACACTTGCCTCTAAATTCCCCTTCAAATGAACTAATAATTCTAGAAGTTTACATAAATTTGCCACACACAAATATGTAGCTTTGGATCATTTTCTTCAATGATAGGCACTTCTGATGAAGCAGAATTGGGCAATGCAGACTGTATGTGGTCTTCCTTGTCACTCCACTTTTTATCATCAGATATTGCTCTAGCAGATTGTTCTTTTATGAGATATTCTGAGATTCCACTGCAAATATAAATAACCTAATTATGTATGTAAATTACTTGAAAAATCAAAATATTGAGCTTTCTATGTTATGCATAATGTTGTTTTCAGTACTAAGTGAAAAACTCTAGGAAAAGTCTGGGCTGAACTATGTAATGTCTCTGTGGTTTTCAGAGTACCTAAAAAGCAGTCAAGATGACTTGGAACTTCTTCAAAAAACATCCCAAACCTGAACCCATAATAGCTGTTACTACAGGTGGTACAGTATCTCCCACCACTACGGTGGCACCGGCAGTCTCCCTGGAAAATGCAACGCAGATCTTAGGCCCAGTGGAGAGTACAGAGGATACGTTTGCAAAATTAAGAGAAAAGTTCATGAATGAAATAAGTAGTATACCCTGTAAGTAGCATGATCTTATTTTGGACATATCTGGTATTAATATGGTTCCTGATCTAATTGTTCCATCCTTACAATTTCTAACATTTTACATATCTGTGGAATGCAGAGGTTAGCTGCCCACCCAATCTCCTGCCCTTTTTATTATAAGTTGCAAGAAATATAAGTATTTATTGGGTTAAGGAGGCCAAACTACTTAGATACACTTCTTGAGAAAAGTAGTGAACTGGCCTGAAATATTTTTTCATTGTAGTGAGTTTCTGCTAAGAGAAAAAAAGAAAAGAAGGGCCTCACTAGAAAGGATATGGTAATTTCAAGGTGAAATAATGTAGAGTAATTTGTTGCAAACATACTGACTTAATCTTTACTTTAATCTTTACATACTGACTTAATCTTTAATCTTTAATCTTTACATACTGACTTAATCTTTAACCTGGAGGAATGACTATAGAAAATCAAAGAGGGCAAGAAATGTTCTACGGTGGGAAAAGGTTCTATATTGGAAATAGATTATCCATTTGAGGGGTGACATTCAGAAATATTATGAGTGGGTCATAACTACCTAATTATAGAGTATCTTCCCAACCTTGTTGCTTCTAGCCTTGCAGCAGTAATGATATCTTGCAAGTTTGAGCAGAGATTGAATCTGCATTCAGATAATGGCCCCAATTTGCTTGGCCATTGTATGTTTCTGTGCTTCTTTAAATGTGTGTTTTCAGTAGTTGCTTTTAATGTTTTGATATAAGTTGTGTAGGTGACCCTGGCTTGAAAGACATAAAAAAGAAATGCCATTAAAAAAAATAAGTTGGGTGCTCCACAGCATGAGATGAAGCACTCTGCAAAGAGCCTGTCCTCAGATATTGAGGCAGCTGCATCCTCTGGAAGGCTCAGAGGAGTTGCTTGAGAATCTTCCTCTGCCATTTTTCCTTGCATATGAAGGCACAGACATGGACAGAAATAGCCTGGGTAGGAACACACAGGGGGGCTTCTAACCTGCTCCTTCAAAGGCTCTGCACAGCCTTAGAAATGATATTTGCTGGCTGTGCATGTAATGTAAACCTCTGGCTACACTTCCTGCTACCCCTCTCCCCATGTTCTTCATATATTTTCACAGTGCCGCCATGGGCCCTGATTGCCATTGCTGTCGTTGCTGGACTGTTGCTGTTGACCTGCTGCTTTTGCATCTGCAAGAAATGCTGTTGCAAGAAGAAGAAGAACAAGAAAGACAAAAAGGGGATGAAAAATGCTATGAACATGAAAGATATGAAAGGCCAGGTGAAAATATACCATTGGATGAAGACCAGTTGGGAAACTGCAGTTATTAAGATATGGGGAGCAAGCACTCATGTTTCTGGTGGGCTGAAGTTTGGGCGTACCTAGAGATGGGAAGGCCCTGAAAAAAAAATCAGGAAAAAGTAACCACCAGTGGAGGGGGGGGGACCCAACCAATACCCCCCTGTTTTCTGAGTCCTTTTTAAATTAAAAAAAAAAAATGTTGTAAGCTGCTCAGAATCGAGTTGGGTGGCCATAAACACAAGAGAGCAAACAGACAAACAAATTGGTATGTCTTTGCAAATATACCAAACCAAGAAATAAATTAGAACAGAAGGGATGGAGAAGTTTGTCTCACAACTGTTAGTTTTAGTAGTCAGTGAAAAATGATTCTTAAAAAAAGATCAGAAAAGGTAGAAGATCAAGGTTGAGGAGGTTCAGAAAATGAGGTTGCTAGGCCACTGTTTCATGTGGCAAAATATATATTCTAAGCTTTGTCCCCCCCCCTTTTTTTCTGAGCTCTTTTTAGAAAACAATTGCTTTCTGTATTTGATAAAACAGAAGTCAGAATCCACTTTATTTTATTGTGTTATAATCTTACTTTACTACAATATCACAGTTTAATTTTTATTACAGCTTTATTTTACTACAGTATTGTAATTTAATTTTACTTTACTTTATCATTTTATTTTAGCACAAAAAAACATTGTTTCTTATGTTGTTGCTATTATTTTGGCAGCCAGCTTTTCCTGTAAAGGCAAAAATAAAGATATATTTCTTTCCTTAGAAACCAGGAGCTTCTAATTCCATTTTTAACAAATATTTTTAAACATTTATTGTCAGAAACCTGTACTTCTCAGTTGTACACATCAAGCATTTCTTTATGTATTATTTATTTATAAATTTACAAATTTACAAAATGTATTAACTACCTGAATTCTAAAGGACAGTAAGTGATACACAAGTCTAAAATATAGTACAGAATTAATATAAAATACACATATTTTTCAAACATTTTTACAAGTAACCATCTTATATATTTTAGAAAGTAATGAAGTATATTTCAATCTACTTCTACTGCATATATTTTAATATTTTCCTAAATTTATGGAAGATGTTTCTAGGGAAATAACTCTTTTTTTTTCTCTTTGTCTCAAAATTTCTAAAAACATTACACCTCTAAGCATATGAGAAAGCATGACAATGAACTTAGTTCCTGCTATGCAGAAATAACTTTTCTGTGTCACCTAGGAGTGCTATATTCACCCTCTTGCTCTTAGAGGAAATATAGGATATAAATTTAACACACAAACAAAAAAATAACAGTGGGGGCAGAAGTAGTATTTGAACCAGATACTTTTGTGCTTGCAGCATCAGCCACTGTGATCTTGAGGCTATTCAAAGCAATTTAGCCTTCAGCCTGTTCCTGTTTTGGTTCCTCAAGCTGATTGTGGTGTAATCCATAAATAAAATGCAATGGAGTTGCTCCTTAGCAAAGGAGGCTGTAGACCTTTATTCTTAAGTTGAAGACAGATGATCATCTGCTTGCTTTTATAACTGTTACCTACATTTCATTAAAACAGGTGCTAGAAAATACAATAAAACTAATCCATCTTTATAAAATTATTATAGATTAATGTAGAGATGTAGACAGTGCAACTTGAGGGCTGCACGCAGCCTGCCAGCATTCCTTTTGTGACCCCAACATCTTCCAAGAATGCATGCAACACAAAATGTGGAGCTTTTCTTTTTGTATTGGAGGAGGTTAGAGGTCAGAACAGCTGCTTAAATCTTGCAGATTTGAAGATCCCACTGAAAACTCATGAAACCTCATCCCAAAACATTTTAGTCAAAGTTGGGAGGGCAGTTGAGCTGGGAAAGTTGGGCACCTCTAGTATCATACCTAAGGAACCATCAGCATTAGCAACAACATAGGCAAAAGATGTACCAACACAAAAGTAGGTTTTCATTTGACAGCAACCTTAAATAAGGAGAGAGCTAGGGTGTCCATCAAGAAAAGCATCATTCTGGCTGCTGAATAGTGACTCTGTGGAAAACGTGGCACTGTCAAGAGGATGTTTTTTATCAGATAGTGACTGGGGATTCTCATAATTCAACACATCTTGAGCGGGCCATGTAGGGAAAGCTGCACTAAAGAAACCTGGGAGACACTGTTCTCATAAAGACAAGAAAGCGTTCTTTCTGCTGAAATTAGGATGGCTATAGCAGCATAGTTAGAGCGCCAGTTTGGTGTAGTGGTTAAGTCTTAACCACTTAAGACCAGGAGTTCCAATCCTGCCTTAGGCACAAAGCCAGCTGGGTGACCTCGAGCCAGTCACTCTCTCTCAGCCCTAGGAAGGAGGCAATGGCAAACCACTTTCGAAAAACCTTGGCAAGAAAACTGCAGGGACTTGTCCAGGCAGTCGCCAGGAGTCAACACTGACTCAAAGGGACCAAAAAATAAAAAATAAAATCAGTATAATTAGGCATATCACACTGTAATACTGGGTTAGGAAATTATCAGTTTAATACATTTAGAAAACCCTCAGTTTTCAGAAGCCCATCAGACTTTAGCCATATTCAGGCATTCAGAATTCCAGAGCTCTCCACACTTTTGTAGACAATTGCCTATTAAGCATGATTGGCTGCAAGAGAAAAACAGTTGTGCATTCAGTCTGTGGGTCTTTGCGTCCATGTGAGTAAGGGCCCTGCCTGGCTCATGATGAAGCCAATGGCAGAAGCCATTGTAAGCGCAAAGGTTTTCTCTCGCATATTTTTCTCAATGTGTAGTACAAGTAGGAGACTATCATTATTTGTATGACATTGGCAACATGGATGCTTCCCTGAGTGCTTCAGATTTTAGAATGCCTGAATAGAGCTTTATTATCTAATGTTTTGTTTCATGCAAGCACACTAAGAAGTATTATTATGTGGATGGTATGTATTTGCTGGACAGATTCTTAGCTATGTCTTCCAGATTTTCTGTAGCAAGGCCATAGCAAAATAAGAATAGGAAAGTAGGGACACAAACTACAGGCAAGTATCCTTTTTACCCCAACCTGTTGGAGCCTGCAATGATTTGAAACTCTAATCACAATTTGCCAGTAAGTTTTTTGGGCATATCCTATAGAATACTTCCTAATAGTCTACATAAAGGAAGGAGATGAAGGGGATTGTTATTAATGTATCCCCAACACTGAGGTGAGTTTGATAAACCCTCCTGTTAGTCTTATTTATAACCTACACCCTTTCCCCCATTAGCAGCTATGATTCCATTTTAGCCTGTTGAGATAACACAGATGGAAAATTACCACTCACAAAAAGCGCAAGAGGATTTGTACAGGGATGGTCTCAGGAAGCAATTTGTCAAGGACCATCTGTAAATCTCAGCTCATAAAAATATCTTGTGTAGCATCCAATTTGAAGCTACCATCTCAGTAATTCCATCATTTTATGGTTCAGGGTTATACTGTAATATTTATTTTGTAAGCAGCAATCAAACTAGCTCAGCAGCAAATCACATTAGCAATTAATCTTGACAAACATCAGGCTATGAATGGTGATGGGTTCTACTTTCTTCTCTCATATTGGGGCATTTTGCTTTAGTAATGTGGGGAATAAACTAAGAAACATTTTGTAGCCCATCACTCAAACTACATTAATCAGGCATTTTGCATGAGGTACTTTAAGGATGCAAAACCCCAGTATTTTTCATCATTTAGATCCCCCTGTTGTGTGTAACTATTGTAGCCAGTTTTGAGCTGGACCCTCTCCACAATGGGTTTCCTCAGTGCTGAGATACAAATCAGTTCTCTTGCCAAACATAAAATACAGACATCATTTTAATTAAGGTATAAATAGTAGCAAATGGACTGTAATTCCCATCCTGTTTCACCATGGAGCATTGATCTGGTAGCTTAGGGTTGAGGATGTAGCTGAGGGTTGATGAGAGCTGGAAGTCACTTATTGGTCATCCCTGGTTTAGAATCACAGACTTGAAAGATATATTGGAAATCTTATCAAACCTCCTGCTCAACACACCATCTGCAATATAAGATGTAGCTGCAACTTCCTTGATGGAGTCTACCATTTGCCAAGGCCATCTTCTCGTGCTAGAATATGTTTCCTGTACAATCTCCACCTGTTATTTCTAGTCCTGCCCTCTAGAACAATAAAGAGCAAGTCTGCTCCATTTTCCATGTGACAGTTTTCAGGTATTTGCAGATCCCAATAACCTCTCTCCTTTTCTCTGGCCTAATCATATTGTGGATGTATGTTTTTACAGGCATACAAGAATAGGTACTCGTAAATTCTCTGAAGAATTGCAGTAAAGTTGGCAGAAGGCCCCAGAAGATGTATGAAAAGTTAGTGTTATGAATCACATCTCTAATTATTAATGAACTCCTATGGCATAAAAAGGCCTAAAGGTTAGCGGTGGGCTGGATGCTTTACATGTTTGAGGACCCAGTTTTGACTCCTGGTATTCCAGTGCCTGAGACCCTGGCAAGCTGTCAAACAGAGAAGACAACACATGGTGAAATTGGGTTTAATCCAGCTTCCTAAGAACAGAAACCATCTGGTTGCTTTGCTTACAATTTATCCAGTTCAGAGCCAAAGAACTAAATGCTCTCATGCCCATGACCTCTCTCTCTCATTATGAATATGAGCATGTTCCAAATTAAAACAGTCAACATATATGGGATCTACACTTTATGAAATAATTCTCAGATGCTATTATATTAGGGTTTACAGTTCTTATCAGCACTGCTTTATTCATGTCTGAGCAAATATTGATTCCAACACTCAAGATTTTAGACAGAAAACAGTAGCGGTTATTAGTGTGGGATATCTAGATGCATCAGGGATTAAGACTTACAACCTCTCAGACATATTTACTTAGCAAACAGGAACCATGGTAAGGATGACAACTAAAAGGCAGCTAAATTTCACAAGGACATTTCCACTGAGGCCCTCCAGTCACAGTAAGAACAGTTCAGTATGTTGGTACAGCATATGATTTTCCCAAATGCCTCCTGGTCTGACAGGACAAACACAAATGGAAGAAGTGATGAATTGTAAGGAGAATAAAAGCTTTCATTAGCTAATTGCAGTGACTATTTTGCTCCCATTTCTAGCAAGGAAGACTGCCAATAGCAAAAGGCAGAAAGAGAGCTTTACTCCTCTCTGTAACCTCTGGAAATCTAGAAACTCACTTGGCTAGATCATTGCAATAGCTGTGTGTCTTTTCTTTGCACTTTTTCATTCTTGTTCTTCATAAAGGGCCTTTCTAGTCACAGGATAGGTTGTCCTTGAGTTACTAATTGGCTGTGTTTTCTCTGTCTCTTTCTCTCTCTTTTCCCTTATGTATTTCTGTGCTTTTTTTTTTTGGCTTCCAGAGAAACACAGGTCTACTAATTACCTTCAGTTTTCTTGTATGGTGCTATTTACCATTAAACAGAGAAGATGAAATTGGCTGATATAAAATACTATCTTTTGTTTCTCTCTTTGGATTAAATGAAACTGAATGCAAAAAATAGTGATGTGCCTTAAGCCAAAACAACATGCATTGATAAATAAACTTTTTGAAAATGACCCCCCAAAAGATGGCCACTTCAGTTTTGAAGAAAAGCACAATGGAGACTTACTTAAGTATTTATGTCATGCTCCTCATTGAGTTGAGGACCTTACACTTGCTTTTACAGGGACACAGTCCAGATCAGTAGCATTGCAATGGAAAAGGGGGCTCCCTCTTCACCCAGTTTCCTTGGGAAATAAGTATGTGATTTAGCCAACTGCATAGGTTGCCACTGATTTCCTTTCCTATAATCCTGGAATGAGTAGGTCTCTAAAACTACTAATTAGCTGTGATACATCCTTCAGCATGCTCCTTTTGGCTTTGCTAAATCATTATAGTAGCAGTGCCTGAGCTGTCTATTCATGCAGGAAGACACAAAATGCAAATAAATCCAGGTTAGCCAACCAGTTCTATACAAAAAATATAAAACAGGCTTAAAAAGTGGAAAGGAAGGAAGGAAGGAAGCCTATTTAAGGAATCTGAAACAAGCTACTCTGGCCCAATCGGCTCAGTCAGGATTCCTGACTCAGCAGTTCCTGACAGAGTCAGCCAAAGGTGTCCAAAGCAGCCAGGAGAAAAGACAGAGCAGAGGGCATTGCTGCCCTCTCTTGGGGTGGGGTTGCTCAACAGCCATCCTTCCAACCAGTGGGCAGCACTAACCTTCAGCAAGAGAGATGACTGTGAGGCAATTCCTGCCAGTATTTATTTAATTGATAAGACTGGCAAGGAAATGACCACTCTTTCTGTCAAATAGTCTTGTGGGTTTGCAAAGAGGTGGTGGTTGGGAAATAACTAAAAGGCACTAGAAAATGGAAGAGCTTCCCTAGCCAATTCAGAGGAGATTTTAGATATGGCTTGTCATAACCTGATCTGAACAGGATGCTACACACCAAGTTTTACTTTGAAATGTAAGTGGCCAGCTTAACCACAACATTTCTTTTTTTAAAAAGCTGAATTTAATAAAACCTATTCTAACTGGGGTAGTCCATCCTTTGTATAGTATGCCTTGGAAGGTGTGGAGTCTGCAGTTTCTCAGGAGCACTGTGTGGTGTTGATAATTTGTGAAGTTTTTGTGTCTATAATGCCCTTCTCTTCCTTCTCTGTGCTCTCTTTGTCCTCCTTCTGTGTTGTACTGTCTCCATCTTTTCTGACTAACCTGGATGTCAACACACGGTAGGTCCTGTTCCATCAACTCCCTTTGAGGCACAAAAGGGACAAGGGAAGAGGATTTATGGGAATTAGTCAACAGTGGGCCCACATTTCATACTTAGACTTTGTTTAAATGATAGAGTTAAACTTGATGTTGCACTTCAACTGAGAAAGATTTTTAAAAATCTTTAATTTCTGGTTAAGGGAAATTAGAATTATACAATCAGAATGAGGTACAATCCAAGCACAACTTTTCACTAACTGAAGTAGACAAAATATTTTATTGGATTACCTGTATCTCATCAGAACTGAAGTTCTACATGAGTTGAGTTCATGGAGAAAGCATCAAAAGGGCTTCTCAGTGACACTACGAAATGTTGAAAGAATTATCCAGCATTACTGGCCTGCACATGCTTGTGAGATGTTCTGGGAAAACTGCCATTTTGAGAACAGACATTAATACTTATTTAACCAAATTTGATAACATTTAATTTTAGAAGTCTGAGAAAGAACAATGAGTGTGTGCCTTGGGGAATCTGCATGCATGTGCATGTATGAGTGTTTGAATCTTTTTTTTTTAAGTGAAGTAAGAAAGAAAACATTAGGGTTATTTAAGATCCCCATTTATTTGCCAATCCCTTCAGTGAACATCCATTGCTGTTTCCTTATAGCCAGTACATATCGAAGCTGCTTTGTCTGCCTTGGCTACTCCATTTCCGGTAGATCTCTCATTGGAGATCGGTGTCATTTGCTAACATGTACGTTCTATAATACAAGCCTGGCTCCCTCCAGGTGTATTAGGACTGCAGCACCCCAGATACATTTGACCATGCTGGCTGAGAATCGAGGAAGGTGTCCTCTAAAATATTTAGTGGTTGCTAGGCTGGAGAAGGCAGAATTGCACCAATTGCCCTGTTGCAGTGCTTTCTCTGAAAGTTTGTAGAATTTTATCTAATCCCTGCTGATTAGATAAGAGTCCTATCACTGTAAAGTTTACGTGCCAATCATTTGTAAAGATAATATTTGCCTTTTTAAAAAATATATATATATTGAAGTGTTCAAGCTGTATTCTTAACTAAATCTATCAATAAAAGAGATTTCCCTGCACTTGAGGTATATATGAGAGGAATCAAAATAGTTGCATGCCAATTTTCTTAATTACAATTATGAAAGAAATACTGCTGAAGAAACTCAGTTCCCTCTCCCCTTTTCATTTGGCCTGGAAACCCATGTTCCTATTCCTACAGTAAATCTGAGCTTCTGTACTAACATAACACGCTGTGTGTGTATGTATGTGTGTATGTATGTGAAAACTACTTAGGCTCTTGATGTATAGTCACTCTTTACAGAATACTGTATTCCTACTTCTTTTCTAGAACAAACAGGATGATGATGATGATGGAGATGGTGATGAGGAGGGAGGAGAAGAGGAAGAGGAAAAGGAACCAGAGAATCTGGGCAAGCTGCAGTTCTCCCTAGATTATGACTTCCAGGCTAACCAGGTAACGTATACACATTAATAAATGTAAACAAGAGAAATCTCATTCTAACTTCCTCCACTGGGAGTGATAATGATGACAGAAGCTCATCCCTCTAAAAATTTGCAAGAAAGTAGGCCTGGAATTGCTGCCAGGCCTTGGACAGCTCTGAGCCAGCCTGAGAGCAGCACTAGTAGTGCAAGGGTCAGCCTGATGGCGTAAAGTAGTATGAAGGCCCAGAAAAGAGTGGTGCACAGAGGTTTTGATTTGAAGCATCAGGCCATAAGTGCTTTCTCTGGGTACTCTGAGGCCAAGATGGTTTCAGAGTTGCAACCACCATCTTGGGTGTGGTTGCCTCAGCTCTTCTGGTTCTTTCAGGCTCCTGGATCGTTGTACATCTGCAGATCCCCAGCAGTGGAAATAGCTGGGACCTCTGAGGAGGTTTTTGGCTTGCTGGTAGAAGTTCAGGGTCTGTGGTTGCTGGTGTGAGGTACCTGTAAGGATTTGGGACTTTACTGCAGGCTCTCCAGTGACTTATCCTGAATGAGAACACAGATTCTAGGTGTAGACCAGCAGAGTAATATGGGGCCGACCGGTTGATTACTGTGTTTTAAAAATGTGGGCTTCCCTCAGGCAGCACCTTCTTATCTTTACTGTCTGGTGTCACAGAAATTAAGAACATGCTCCTTGGGATGTTTTGACCTGTTGTCAATAACAGTGATGGAAGGGTATTTTCAGAACATTTGAAAATAGGTATAGATGAACACACTACATCTGCCCTTTAGTCCATGTCTTTCTATAATGCTTTTATTACATAGACAGTAAGTCTATTCTTATAGTTCCCTACTAGAAGGCAAACTCCTGGGAATTCTTGATCGAGGCAGGTGAACGGCTTACCTGAATATTTCTAAATTTTAATTTGCCCAAACAATATTAGAATAAAATTTCTATTTGTGCCTAATTATTAATCATATGGATTTCTTCAAATGGAATTCAAAATAGTATTAACAGCTCCCTCCCCTGCCTCCACATAACAGAAAAGGGGATTAGGAACTGAATAGTAATAGAAGTGAGATGCTGGGTTAAAGACAGGAGGACTAAATCAGATAGTTTCCCACTTTGATTGGAACGTGCTATTGCAAGCCTTTTTGTTGCTTTCTTTCCCAACAGCTCACAGTAGGAATCCTCCAAGCAGCTGAACTCCCAGCATTGGACATGGGGGGTACATCTGACCCTTATGTCAAAGTCTTCCTACTTCCGGACAAGAAAAAGAAGTTTGAGACCAAAGTGCAAAAGAAGACCCTCAATCCAACCTACAATGAGACCTTTGTCTTTAAGGTAAGACTTCTTCTAACCCAGATATTTTTTGCACAGTTAGCTAGTATGTTGACCCAGCTATTTTGCCTTCAGAATAATTTGTGTACATCAGTGATCAATACCCAGCCTCACCCAAATTGGAACTCAGTCCAAAAGGGGAAAACGGATAAATGAAATACTAAAGCTGAGAGTAGCAAAACAAATACCTGAAACCCTATTAAACAATAGAAGATAGTATTGATGTAACAGCCTACCAGTAAATGAGAAAGAGTACTGAAACATAATGGAGGGAAAGATTAAGAAAGTGGATTGAAATTTCAAAGGCAAGGATTAAAATGGCTGTCAGGGCTCAACAAGGACAGGATGCTGGAAAAGCTGTCTAAACAACATGTGACTCTAGCAATTATGTCTTAGGAAATAGATGTAAGTAGCACTGTGATTAAATTCTCTAAAAGCTTTTATGTATTGGGCTGTCAATTATATATATTTATACTGTGTTTGGGGGTTTTCATCTTAGAATATCTTGAAGTGGTAAACAACCACACAATTAAAAATATAAAGTAGTAACTCAGCTAAGTGATTCATTTTGAAAAAGCAATCTTTATTTTTCCTTTCACTGAAGCAAAAATTCTACCTATTTGCCTTGACAAACCAACTGGGTGGCCTCTAATTGCTATAGGCCAACGTTACGGGAGAATCCCATCATAGTTGTCAAAGCCACCATTGAAAGCACTTCAGCCTTTACCCTGGAAAAATGCTTCTGTCCTCCAGTTGGTGGCGGGGATGAGCCATGCTAGCCAGGAACTCCCCTGAGGGGGGCTACTTGCCTGCCCAGCTGCCTGGTGACCAGGAGCTTCTCTTTGGCCTTAGAAGCAAGGATACCTCTGTTGCTTCATGGAATAGTTCTGAATGTGTATTTTGTCAACACAAAGATCTGGTCATTTCCCTAAGGCTTTTAGATACAGGAACATGGCTTGTTTCAAAACAAGAAAGTTCCCCTTTAAAGAGTAGTAAAAAAAGAAAGAAAACCCCTGACCAGTTCATCTTGAAAGATAATATGATGCCCTTAAAATCTTAGAAATTTGATTACTTCTTGAATGGTAGCCCACTTTAAAGGGGAGCTTCTACCCTAAAACTAATGAACAAGTACTTTAGCCCATCATTATTTCATAACAGTAAATACAGTTGAAATTAAAGCAAATGGGTCACAGAAGACCCATTTCCTTCTATGTTTTGAAAACTTGTCCTTTTCTTGGCACAAAAGTGGCTGTCAATGTTTAATCCTAGAATCAGAATGTGAATGTCAGTTTAGAAGTACTAGATCTGTTTGTAACCCTCCAGGCTTTCCATTTTTTTTCTTCCTCTTTTAACTTTTGCAAAGGCATTAATCAAATCTCACAATTAGGTATCCTATATCTGGGTGACCAATAGAGGGAAGGAAAGAAGTAGTCTCTTCTGTATTTCTTTGCTGTAATCTAGTGGAGTTCTAGGTTTTTTGCAGTCAAGATAGGATATGGCTGCACAAGATCTTTGTGAAAGCCTTATTAATGTTTCCTTTCAAATGCCAGAAATGCTATAGCAATTACTGAAAAAATGCCTGACTTTTTTGTAACAGATTCCATACCAGGAGCTTGGTGGGAAGACCTTGGTGATGGCCATCTATGACTTTGACCGATTTTCTAAGCATGACATCATTGGGGAAGTCAAGGTACCCATGAATACCGTGGACTTAGGACAGCCCATTGAAGAATGGAGGGACCTAGAGAGTGCAGAAAAAGAGGAGGTAAGAATTTTCTCCTCTTGCTCTTTGAGCCTCAGTTGTGAAATGTGGATTTAACATACCCTACAAAGAACCTAGAGATGGTGAAGTCTGTGACAGTCTCATGGTCTTGGGAGAAGAGTTACAGATAACCAAATTTAGAAGACAAAAGTCCCTGCTAGCCAGAACTGCCCTCTATGAACCACGCTTGATCTCTGCATCTGCCTGCTTTGCTGTTAAGCTGCTTGGGAAGTGATGGGCCTAATCAGAAGCCCAGTTCTGGCTTATTGCCTTGTTTGTAGAAGGAAGCTTTGGATTTAAAATGCAGCACTAATGAGTGTATAGCCATGTACTTTGTAGGGGAAGTTGTCCTCCAAAATTGACAACTTCATATAATACGTTTTGCGCTACAGCTCCCATTAGCCCCAATCAGTGTGATCAAGGACAAGCAACAATGATGATGCGGTAATCTAAAAGGCCATCTGGTTCTGGAGCACCTCTGGGAACCTAAGTAATCTGGTTCTATCCTATGCATCTGGCACAGAGGGATTCACTTTTCCAGCCAAAGGAAGAGTAACAGAAAGAACAGCAGACTGCTAGTCTCATTTTAAAAAACTGCCCAAATACAGCACATTACAACTACTATAGTTATATTATGTTTCCTTCTATCATAGACCCAGATCATTTATAAGACAGAGTAGGAGCTTTGAGCTCATTGTTTTCCCAATTTCCCTCTACAGCCAGAGAAACTGGGAGACATCTGTATCTCATTACGATATGTACCCACTGCTGGGAAACTGACTGTCTGCATCCTGGAGGCCAAGAATTTGAAAAAGATGGATGTTGGAGGACTTTCTGGTGAGTGCAGATCAACAACATACTCACTAGATGTCACGTCTGGGCCATTCAGAGACCTGTCAATACAAATAGTTCTCCTTCAGGCACTCTGTAGTGTGAAAAACCATTAGGTGGCAGCAGAGCGATAGGAAAACCTCAAGCACTATTTGCCATCTGGCATTTGTCTGGATTTTTGTAGCCTGGATAATAGGCTTACTTTCATTTGCAAAATCTTTGAGTTCAAAGCTTCTTTAACTTTCTGACATGAAAACAGTCATCAGCACATATTTTTGCCTGGGAATCTTCATGGACAGCAGCTAGATTCCAAGAGAATCAATGAATGTGGGCAAAAGGGCTGAATGTGAACACAGCAGCATCACTGGAGCTTCTTGCCCATGTTGTATTTTAAATTACACCTGCAGTTTCTTACTGCAATTTTCTCAACAAGAGAAATAATCCAAGCACATACAGAGCAGGCAAGGCAGAAGGATATTCAACCCCTGCCAACCAATGAACTTCATTCCTCCAAACCTCTTGCACTGGTAAAGTTAGCTAATATGTTAATGAAACATCAGCAACCCAAAAACCAAGCTTGGAGAACACCAACAGTGTAATATGCCAACTCTTAGCTACACATATTGTCTACCTTCAAAATCATTCTGGTCAGATGTTTTAAAAGCTGAGAGAGCACAGACCAAATGTGACTCCCCCAAAACTACATTTGATAGCCTGGGAGCAATGCAGAAGATTGGTATGCCACAAAGATGGGCCTCTGATAGCAGGACAATTTCACAAGAATTCTCCTGCAGATCTTAACCATCAAGAGTTTCATAGCAAGGACACTATCTTTCAGATAGTCAAACCTTAAACCATTGAGGACTTTAAAATAAATACAAGTACTTGTAATTAAAGTATGTTTGGTAAGCAATTGGCAATCAGTGTAGAGCTTTCCATATAGGCATCATATGATCCCTATGCCAGTTTAAGTGCAGCATTTTGCACCTACTGCAACTTCTGGATACATTTTAATGGAAGCCCCAAGTAGAGTGCATTTGACTTCACAGAATCATTGGTCTTCTGGTCCAATGCTTTCCCCTGAGCAAGAATCTTCATACCATCCCAGACAAATAGTCCAACATTTGCTTGCAAATCTCTAGTGCTGGAGCACCCACAATACCAGGGACAAGCTGTTCCACTGCTTGATAGCTGTCACAATCAAGTAATTCCTCCTTATTTCAAGTCTGGAACTCCTTCTATAAAGCATCCATCCACTGGTTCTTGTCCTACTCTTGGGCACTCAGAAGAATAAATCCACACCCTTTTCCTTGTTGACAGTCTTTCAAGTACTGTATTTAAGTTTTTAAGACAGTCAGATATGAGCTCTTCTCCTAGTCCTCATTCCTATTTCAGGAATGAAAGATGGAATTAGTTGTAAGATTACTCTCTCCTTTTTGAATATAAAAAGATGATGTCTCACTGACAAGGTAGAACTCTCAGAATCTAGTAGAGATAACTCTCACCCAAAATATAGTGTTAAATTATAGAATCTGCAGAGAAACCTCCCTTCAGATGTTTGGCAAATATGTAGAGAAAGGCTGATTCTGAATGTAACAGACCTTCTGAGATTCCTCTCTCCTGAGTCTGTTAAGTAGTGACTCAAAAAATCTGCCCCTACAATGGATAGTCCTTGAACACCCTGTTTTCCACAGTCCCTTTATGAACCACTAGGGCTTAATCTTTGGCTACTGAAATCCCTTTCGGACCTCTAAGGAAAATGGACTGTTCATTTATTCTAAAAAAATAACATAAGAAAGGGTGCTGCCTTAAACTGAGTCCTGACATCAAGTAGAACCAAGACTTGTCTAGATTAAGCTGACCTGGTATTGATCTGGATTGTTGATATCCAGGGATGTTATTGTCTCAGACAAAAGCAATATAAAATCATTAGGGCCAAACAAGCATATAGAATAAGGCTCTTCAAATGTGCTGTTATACAACTTTTTTCTGATCTCAAGCCTGAATAATTATCCAAATGCAAAATAAGAACAGATTTAAGCTAACGATGTGTGTGGTCCAGTGACTCAGTATCTGAATTCTTAGAGGATCTTGCAATCATGGGATTGGAAGCAATTGAGCCTTTTGTCTACTGTGTCTTAAAAGTTTACATTAGTTTAATATGAAAATTATTCCTTTTCTACTCCCCAGTATTCATGCAAAGAGAGAAAAAAGGGAAAGGTTTTTTTTAAGGAGAAAGACATGTTTTAAAAAGTAAAGCAAAATTCTAACAAACAAAATAGGAAAGAAATAAAATATTATCCTGGGTGAAAGCAAGGAAAAGACTGAAGAAATTAGGAGCTGGGGCAAGACTGGTCATAAATTCAAGTCCTATCCTGCCTACCAGCATAATGGGGGAGATTATCCCATTGTATGGATATTACTTTTACACCAAACTGGAAAAACTTTCCAACACTAGAAGGCCGATTGTGATTAAAAATGCCTCTCCTTATTTTTTCTTCCATGTGAACATTACCACAAATAAATAAATAAAGAACTTCAAATACCTCTAGGGGCATATAAATATGCAAAATAAATAAATAAATAGGGCTTTCTGGGGCTCTGGAGAGTAAGTAGTACAGTGCAAATCTAATGCAACCTTGATGCAAAAATATATCACCTTCATAATATCAGCATCATGCAGAGAACTTAAGAACAGAAGCAGCATCCTCCTGGATCAGAGCACTGCTCCATCTACTCCAGAAGTCTGTTCTCACAGTAACAAACCAACTACAGAAGGAAGCCCACTAGTCTCCCAGCAGATGGCTTTCAGAGGCAGTCACAGTGCCATCAAGGCTAATAGCCATTCATACCTATGACTTCCATTAATTGGTCCAGTCCTTTTTGGGAGTCAGCCAAGCTGGCAGCCAGCACTACATCTCGTGGTAGCAGATTCCAAAATCCGATAAGAGTTTGCATTAAAAAATCCTTTTGTCTTTCTGATTTTTCCAGGATTCAGTTTCAAAAGGTGACCTCTGGTTCTAGTATTTTGGGAAGGGGAAAACAGCTTCTCCTTGTCCACTTTATCCACATCATGCATTTTGTATACCTCAATCATGTCCCCTCTCATTCACCTCCTTCTAGACTAAAAGGACCCAAATGTCACAACATTTCCTCACAGGGAAGCTGCTCCAGCACCTTGATCATCTTAGTTGCTTTAACCTTCTGTAGCTCCACTATATCCTTTTTGAGGTGTGGCAAACAGAACTGCAGACAATATTCCAGATACGGTTGCACCATTGATTTATATAAGGGCATTATGATACTGGCATTTCTATTTTCAATACCATTTCTTATTATCCCTAACATGCTGTTAGGTTTTTTTTTACAACGGATGCACACTGTATCAACTCCTTCATTGAACTGTTTACCATTACTCCAAGATCTCTTTCCTCATCAGCCACTGCTAACTTTGATCCCATTAATCTGTATGAATAGTTAGGATTTTTGGCACCAACATGCATCACTTTACACTGGTTCATATTTAATGACATCTGCCATTTTGATGCCAATTCCACTAATGTGCCAAGATCCCTTTGGAGCTCTTGGCAGTCCCTTATTGTTTTTACCACTCTGAACAATTTTGTGTCATCAGCAGATTTGGCTATTCCACTAGTCACACCCAATTCCAGATCATTTATAAATACGTTAAAAAGGCCAGTCATAGGACAGAAATTGTGGAAAAAGTCTGTTTACTCCTACTCTTTGTTTTCTATTCTTTAGGCCAATGTTTCTCAACCTCAATTACTTTAAGATGTGTGGACTTCAACTCCCAGAATTCTGGGAGTTGAAGTCTACCCATCTTAAAGTAACTGAGGTTGAGAAACACTGCTTTAGGCAGTCGTTTGGCCACAAGAGGGTCTGTCCTTTTATTCCATGGCTATTAAACTTACCGAGAAGTTTTTGATGAGGGACTTTATCAAAAGCTTTTTGAAAATTTATATAGATGATATCTAGTTGCTCAACCTTATTCACATAGAATCATAGGGTTGGAAAGGACCTTGGAGGTCTTCTAGTCCAAACCCCTGCCCAAGGCAGGAGTCCTCATACCATCTCAAACAAATGGTTGTCCAGTCTTTTCTTGAAAACCTCCAGTGATGGAGCACC